AGAGAGAGTAAAGAGAGACTGGGAGTGGGAAGTGATTGGGAGCCAGAGGTTATTCCTCCACAATCTAAAATGTGATAGTTACAATGGATAATAAATGAGTGTCTCCAAGTCAATCATGGACTTCATGTCATTGTAGACTGTCATTGGAGAGAAGGCATCTATAGCCTTCAAGATATGAAATTCTTGGTACCACCTAAGGCATCCTGGGACTGACGATTTTTTCCTTTTCTTGTGGCAAGAATTTGACCAACACTTTAATCGTGAGATGGTTGCAATGGATTTTTCAAAGATAGAACCAAGAACATCAGTGTACATACTCTGCCCTTCCTTCAAACCCTCTTCCAGGCGACTTGTCTTCCCAATGTGAAGACTTTATGAAACTTGTTATTTTCTGTATAACTTAAGCCCTGAACAACAGCAAAATGCTGCTCCACATTCCACAGAGAAATCTCTGTCTTAAGAATTTACAACTTGCCTATGGAGTTTATAGAGATTTCGAATGAAATGGTTAGTCATAAACCAGAATTTCTTAACACATTTTAAAAAGAGGCTTGCAAATTGGGAGTGGAACTGTAGATGTTTTTTAAACTTTCTGCTAGGCATTGTGAGAGAGGATTTCATCCATCCATCATCAAATCATTTTCATTTAATCTGAGTCAGGTCTGTAATTATAGGAAATAATGACAACAGGTTGACACCCTTGGAAATGTGCTGCCTGACCTGGCACCATAAAACTCAACATTCCTCATTAATAGAGATTTGCTTCAGAGATTGGGTCTCACTTATCAGATGCTACCACTGGAAAACAAAAGCCTGTGGTCCTTCTCATATAGTTTCCTTTACACAATAGGATTCATATAAAAAAAGTTACCATGGCTGTGAGAGAATAAGTCTTCGCAGAATGGCTCCAGAAAACAGAAGAAAGAGCTACCCTCTTCATTCAGACGTGTTCGAGCATGCGCCCACAAAACACTGGGTCCATGCACAATGGTGCAGCCCAAGGCAGGCAGCACTAATGAAAGCTAGAAGCATCACTTTCACAAGCAAACCAGCTGCTAAGCTGTCCTCACCTGATAAATCTGATTTGCCACTTTCCAAAGACATAAGCTAGATGCCTGAGTCTGAGTACATTTCAAGATCCAGCGCCTGCTGGGCATTCCCAGGAAAAAGGACCATGATGTGTTCGAGCAGGAAGAAGCTCACCTTGTGACCAGGGAACCAACCCCATTCTCATCTCCAGCATGCTCTGCTAAGGCTCACCCCAGGCCACTCCCATTGTATTTATTTGTCAGCCTCTCCCACTTCCGCAGATCCCAAGGCAGGCAGCACTGTATTTATTTGTCAGCCTCTCCCACTTCCGCAGATCCTATCACCCAAAACATGTCTACCTGTGGTTGGAATCGGCCTTTTCCTTGAGTCCCTGGTATGATGCCCACAGTCACCTTTGCCTTCATTCACTCTAGTCTTTGTACTCTATTCCTTGTTACCAAGAATGAGTCATTTCAGAGAGGTCTTGATGGTTTCTCTGGAAAGGTATGCTTTTACAAGGATTATATCAAAGCGTTGAAAGAGGAAAGGTGGTTGTTCTTTTGTTTTGTTTTTGCTTGCTTGCTTGTTTGTTTTAGATGGTGGTATGAGAATTGCTTTGGCAAAGAGACACAAGATGATGCCTTTATGATGGAGTGGGTCTCTTCCAGTCTTTTCTTCTATACAGGTCTCTGACAGGTGTTTCCTCTAAGGCATATCTGTTTTCAGTAATAACAGAATGAAAAAATTTGTTATCTGTGATGTCTTATAAACACACATTATGCTTTCATTGTAGTAGAAATATGCATAGTAATTTATTTGCTGAGTCAAGTTAAAGTGTGCTTGGGAGATCATTTTCCATTTACCAAAAGGGCATTTTCTTTTCTTTTTCTATGTATTTTGTACAGGGTCTCACTGCGCAGCTTTGACTCATAGTGATCCCCCTGTTTTCAGCCTCCCCAGTGCTGGGATTACAGGCCTGAACCACTATGCCAACATTTGGTGGCTGGTTCAGTGCATGCAGGGGTGGGGTCAGTGCAGCATGTGGTGCCAGGGTTCAAACCCTGGTCCCTGTGCTTGCCTAAGCAGGTGCTTAGTCCACTGAGCTATCTAACTGGACTAAAAAGGGCATTTTCTTCCTGGGTCAAGGACTCAGCATTCATCATGCAAGTGAGATGAGTAGGGAAAACAGGCAAGTGGAAAAAGTGAGAAGAAGCCACCAGGAGGAAGTAGTAGCCCTCATTGTACATACATGAGTGCCAAGAGCAGAAAACGGAAATCCCTCTCCCTGAAGGTAGGGTACCAGTTTTCAAATTGTCCTCAAAGAGCCTAAGGAAGACAGTCACCTTCAATGTGGGTACATTACATGGACCTTTGTTTTGAGAAGTCTGAAGGAGTGTCCAAAAACAACTCACAGAGAGATGGGGGCTCTTTAAATGTATAACTCAGCTAGATCTTTAAACCTTGATAAAAATCAGAGCTAGCCTCAGAACTTGGGCATGTTTTCTGGTGAGATCCTCTAACAAGCTTGGTGTGAAGCTGTGGCCATAGTCTGGCCCAATATGCTTGAAAGGTGTGAAGGGTTTTTAGACCTAGTGTTGGGACTCATCATGAAATTTGGACATGTACAACACAAAAAGGATGTTAATTTGAATGAGCAAGATAATCCATTCCATTGAAGCTGACCTTGAGGTTTATGTTACCACATCTTCTGACTAATTAAATGTCCCAGACTCAGAAAATTTACTAAATTTATAGCTAGTTCCTAGTGCAAGTGGAGATAAAGGATTTTGCTTAAGGCATAGGTCAATCTCCCTAATAATTACCCCTACTTTCCCCAACTTTTTTCTAGTGGCCCAACCTCCTACTCAAGCTTTTCTGCTTATGTTGTCTACCTTCCACAGAACTTAAGTCTGAAACTTCAAATTTCAATAAGTTCTTTAATCTAAAAAAAATATGACTTAGGATAGCAATTTAGAAGCTAACTTCACTGAGGAAAGCAAAACTTGCTTTCATTAAGTTGGGGTCTGGTCATTGAAGCAGATGTTGAATATCAAGTCATTTTAGTTCACAGAGAAAGCTCTTCATTCTCTAAAGCAGAAAGCAATAGGTTGCATTTCTCCTAGGAAGTCTATCCAAATCTCACCTGTTTCCCTGAGAGAAACACATATGGGGCAGGAAATAAGCTTTGTTTGGAAGTTGTTTTGGCAGCCTAATATTAAATTCTCTTGACTTACTAGGTCTTTTCTAACCCTGAACTTTCTGTGATTCTAGAAGTGTTTTCTCTGTTCTCTAACAAATTTTGCTTTGGATTTGAGTGGAGTTATAATGTATGGAGGCAGAGGACCTTGGCCAAGATTGGGTGAGGATCAGAGCTGAGATTAGGAAAACGCAGGCCCTTGTGAAAGCTGCAACGACTGCAAAGTGCATTTAATAAATCAGGAGGTTTCAGTCGTGACCCAGAAGGAAAAAATTTATCAAAAGAATAGCAGCAAAAAGCAGGTTAAGGAAGAAAATTCCATCCATGGTTTGACCTCTCACTGCTGTTTGAACTCTGAACTGAGTTGCCCAAAACACTACTCATGATTCTGCCTAGTGATAGGAGCATTGTGATAATAGAGAAATGAAATAAGAGAAGAAATGAAATAATAGAGAAGAAAAGAATAGAGAAGAAATAAGAATGCTGATGCATATAAATCTAAGGTAAAAGAGAACCTGCCCCAGTGCTCGGTCTATCCCCACCTGCGAGGTGGTCTGGGGATGCAGCTCCTTGTGCCTTCAGATGGCAGTCCTTCTGGAGTCTCCGGCCTGCAGTCACTCCCTTCATATTGCGCTCCACTTTGGGCTCAAGAATCTCTCATATTGTACATCTTGTTGTTGCTACACAAGACCCGAAATATTCTCAGACTGATGCCATTCTCCCTATTTAGGACTTTTCTAGAGGACATGGAGCAAGAATTTGACCAGCTTGATAGCAGTGGCATGTTTCATTGGTGCAAAACAACTCCTTTGGACAAGGTGATTTTGGTAGGTGAATTTATATCATATCTAAGTAAAATAAAGCATCTTTTGGGGTACATGATGCTTGTCTGCTAATCATAAGCTCCTGTCTTTTCTCTTTGTAAATAGAATTTGGAAGGAAAAACACATATCTCAGCAACCACATAAATGACATGCAGTAGAACCCATGTGACATTTGACAAAGCCTATGTGGGTGATATGATGAGATTTAAAACACTTAGATGTCCTCAACTACTATCCCCCATTTTAACAGTTTAGCTGATGCAAATACTTACAATAATGTTCTCATGAAGCAAGTTTTGCCTTTAAATCTAATTAATTTAAATGTATCAGTGAAAGTTAGCTATTTGTAATTTTAAAATATAAAAGAATTTCAGCTCGCTGGGGTGACATATGCTTGTAATTTGAACGGTATGAGAGGCTATCTCAAGCCCAAAACCCAGCCTGGGTATTTCAGCAGCCATGTAAGTACCTGTCTCAAAACAAACAAAAAAATTTAAAAGGGATTTGGAATGTTGGAAGGGCAAAGGCCCTGGGTTAAACTCCAGTACCACAATAAACAAGAATATAACCATTTCTCTAACTTATTAGTTTTAAATTTTTGACTTCTTATAATATTTTTTAGAACTGGTTATGTTCATATTTAATACATAAGCCCAAAAGATATCTCTTTAAATATGCCCCACTCCAGCCCCAAACAACTTGGGTAAAGCTTTGTGGATATAATAGGTTCTGTCCCAACCCCTCTGCTCCAGGAGTCAAATCAGCTCAGCTTATGGAAGTGCAAACAACCAGGATATAAGAAGTCTTGTATCGTAATACAAATTCTAACATCTATTTTCTGAGTCACCATTTTGTCATTCTGCAGTTAAAACTCAAGTATAATTTCAATGTTCTTCCTTACCGGCCATAACTGGTAAAGTTGACTAATAAAGATGATTACTTGTATCCTGTAGAACCCTATATTTTGTAATCTATGGCTAACTGATAATTATAAATATGTCTTGCTTTTCAAAAGTAATTTAGTTCATTTCTTCTACTGCACCCACACACGCACAGACAAATACGCGCGCGCGCGCGCACACACACACACACACACACACATAGGCACAATCTTTGTGGCTCACTGCCAGTGTCCTGACAGAATATGTTCCAATTTTTATAAAACTATTATCAATCATTTGATCAGAAGCATAAAATTGTCAGAGCTGTCATAGTAACTGAACAACTATTAGGGTTGTTGAAACTTTACCATTCTAGCAATCACATTTTATTCTAAACTATACAATATTAACATCCGTTAAACAGGAAGCCAGACATGTTTTCAGTAGAAGGAAAATCTTTAGAAAGGTTGAGAAGTTGGGTGCAGACTGATGCATTGGAGAGACAAAGAAAAGGAAATAACACATTCCATTAGACCATATCTAGTAAGCACACAGAGATGTTACTACAGTACCTACTTACCTTATGACATTCAATGTGGAATATAGCTAACCTTATTTAATTTTTTAATTTTTAATCTTTTTTGTTTCCAGGGATTGAACTCCAGACCTTGTGCTTGCCAGGCAGGCACTTATGCCACTGAGCTATACTCTTAACTCTGGAATACAGTTTAGAACAACAATTATCTATTGTATACTTCCAAGGTCTATTTCACTTTATTTTATTTTGTTTCATTTTAATGTATTTTGTACAGCCTTACACGGCTTGGACTCATAGTGATCCTCCTGTTCTCAGCTTCTCCAGCACTGGGATCACAGGGGTGCACCACCATGCCAGGACTGGATCGCTGGCTCAGCACACCCTGGGGGTGAGGACAGTACAGCATTCAGTACCCAGGGACTGAACCTCGGTCCCTGAGCTTGCCAAAGCAGGCACTTAGTCTGCCAAGACCTATTTTAGAAATGCTAAGAGTTTTGAAATTTGTGTCTTTAGAAGATAAGTATCCAGGTTGCAAATTTCAGAGAGACGTTGCACTTGGTTCTGACTGCAGAAGAGTCCAGGGGAAGTATTAAATTGAAGTTCCTTTGGACAAATAACACATTCTCTTCTTTCCCCCAAAGCCACCATCTTTCTTAATTGGGAGACAGTTTTGGGCCACAGTTTGTTGAAGAAATTGCCTCTCTAGCTTGCCTATAAACACACTCTGCCATATATCTTGCTTCTAATCGTTTAGTACTGCTCAGAAGAGCAATTGTTGGACTTCAGGCATGTTACATTAAATACCGTTAAAGGCTTCATTATTCAACTTAAAACTAATCAGGTTTACTAGAGACAATTATTTACTAGATTTGGTTAAGATTCATATCACTCTCCAGGAAAGCTCTACAGACAAGTAGAGAGCTTTATGTCCCCTCACAAGGAGATTCCCTTAGAAACATAGTACTTCCCAGCGTTTTCTAATGTGACCAACTCTAATTGTTGATATATGTGATTACACTGATTTATCCCACTAGATTTGGTCAATGCCTGCTTTTCAGAGCTTGTCATTTAACTCAGCCAAGAATTAGCATAAAGGAGAATGATATTTTCATTTGAAAGATTCTTTACACGCTTGAAACTCAGAACATGCTCATAGCAACATTTAAAGATAGTTAACTTATTGTCTAGTAGCTTTCAAGGGTCCTGATAATATTCAAATTCATCCAGTTGCTGAAAGGTTGTTAATGTCAAGCACTATGTTTTCAATATGTTAATTTCCACAATGAAATTAACAAGCATTTTGCTTTGTAACCATTTGAAACAGAAAGAACTTGAGGATCAGAGAGGTTAAAATGACTTATTCCTTCTCACAGCCAGGGGCAGAGTCAGAATACAAAGTCAAGTCTGACTCCAGGCTCGTTGCTCTATCACACCCAAACTCTCTAAGAGGAGGTTTCACAGGACCTGAGAGAAGCTGGAAATACTAGCTTTTCAGTTGCATTTCTTGCCTTTATCAGTCTCCCTGAATGTGGCAGAGCCCAAATCTGTAATATATGTCTTGTAGTCCATATCTTAAGTCCATGTCTTATGTATTATGTTTTCAACTTAAGAGTTACCCAAGCAGTATTAAAAATCAGCACTACTACTAGTAGTCATAGTCAAATGATTGAGATCAAATGGAATTTTTATATAATTCCCATATCTCTTGTTCATTTATATGGTGAATTTCTTTGACTCAGGTTATTGAATCACTTCAGTGCATTAGGTTGAACAATATGAAATTACCAAAACTTAACAATTCTTCAGCCTCAAAAAGACAATTTGTGTGATTGAAACAACTGCATATTGCAACATGTTGCAGAACTTAATGTAATTTTTTTGGTGCTCTCTAGAAGACATTGTTTAGGAATAGAATTAGAGGGAATAGAATTAGAAGTGTCTCTGTTTTTCACTTAATCATGCCATAGTACGTACAAGAATAAAAATATATAATAAAATGAGAAAATATTTCCCCCATATGCTGCAATGATTCTATATCCTGAGTAATGATGCTCATCTGAGTTTTAGTTGATTTATTCCAGGCAAATAGAAATTTTCCCAATAAGTAAAATAAGAAGGCGTTCCACACACACACAAAAAAAAATGATAGTTGCGCTACTCCGGCATACATTTCATAATAAGAAGCAATTTGAAAATTTCTGTTAATCTCATGAAAATACCACTATGCCCATGACTGGAAGTGTCAGAGTGAGAAGAAGTGGCCCTCTCTGCGGTGCTCTCTTTCGTCTCCATTATAAAAGCCACCCACTCCGCCCCATGCTTATCCCTCAGAAACGAACCGACAAGCCAAAGCACGCGTTTCAAAACCACGTTGTAGCATGTGTATTTGGAGATGCCCACTCGGCCCTAATAGGCCTTCGGAATTTTGTCATGCCCCTGCGAGCCAGCAACTACACGCAGAAGGAGCTCAAGGACATTGTGTTCATTGGGTCTCTGGACTACCTGCAGAGAGAATGGCGATTTCTCCGGAATTTTCCCAGGGTATATATTATGCCTGTAAGTATCACATAAAGAATAGTGAATATTTATAATGATAATATTATGAGTAGAACCACCACTAATACTTATGGTAAAAATTTTCAATTTATAGTAGGAGTTAGAAACTGTGCTAAACGTTGTGTCTAGGTCGGTTCACTGCTTCCTCAAAACAATGCTAGGAGAAAGGTATTGAAGACCTGAGACCTTCGGCAAAGAAAAAGTGAATAACGTGCCCAAGGATAACAGCAAGTAAAGTAAAAGTAGGATTTAAGCCCACTTATCGTGGCTACTGAGTTTATGTTCACACTGTCCTGTTTTATTATCTTCATGTAAATCTGCTTTTTAGTTTCTCTTTTTCTGAGAATGATTCCAACTTAATGGCTTAACCTAAAGTAGTACCAATTAGTCATCGTGATCTTTATCCTCTTTTCCGGAGAATTCTTATATGAAATGCAGACTATCACATGGTTCCTTTCAAGTGTATGAGTAAAGGGAATTGGTTTTACACTTTGGAGAAATGTATCTTTTTGTGATTTAAATGTCTCTTCAGAAAGTCATGCTGCTTTGTAACCTGATGGCAATAACCGGGTTCAGTGAGGTGATTTGATCGTGAGAGCCCTACTCCCTTGGGATCCATGCCACTGTCATGAGGTTGGGTTAGCTACCGGAGGAGTGAAATCTGGCCCTGACCTCTCTTCTGTGTGCATCCTCCTGCCACATGATGCCCTCTGCTGTGCCGCGAGGCAGCCAGAAGTCCTCATCAGCTACAGTCATTCCCAGGCTCCTGAACTGTGATACAAGTTTTTCTCTATAATTTACCCAGTCTGTGGTACCCTGTTATGGCTGTAGAAACACAGACAAAGCCAGGATCCATTATGCGTATGAGGTATTGCAGTTACAACTGCATTTGCATCTAATGTTATTTTCTCAATCTCACTCTATACCACCATTTGCCAGGATGAAAAGCCTGTTATGCACACTGAGAAATGCACCAAAGCATTTGAACTTTTATGAAGTAATACTGGCATTATGGAAGGAATACTTTTTAAACTTCCAAAATGATTCTTGAGAAGCAAATCGCATTTGTTTTTCTTTTAAAAGCTACCACGAAGCTCCGAATCCCGTCCTCCTTGCTTCTAGTCACGCAAAAGGGAAAAAAATTGTCCTGAAGCCTCTAGATCCAGCTAATGTTAAGAATGATCAATATTTGATCCAAGATTCCTGAAGGTGGGGCCAGATTTATCCCTGTTTCTCCACAAAGAAAAGAAGCAACTTTCACATTACAGGTTAATCTGGAGAGTACCTCCAGTGCTCCCCTAGCAGGAATCCTCCTGTAGCTTGATGACTTCCTTTCCTCTGGATTCTGCCTTCCCACTGCCACCGACTCTATTTCTCTTTTCCAATTAAATAAGTAGATTGATGTCCTGCTCGTCCACTCTCCCCTCTTTGGTCTCATCCAACCATCCTGTCTGGGAAGAGTCTGTGACATGTATGACATATGATTTCAAAGGTAAATGTTTAAATTTTTAAAATGTATTGTAACAAAGGACACATTGCCATTGATTCCCTTTAAAATACATCTCCTTTCTTTGAACACATGGATTTCATTGCGCTTGCCACTTTCTGACACAGCTCCGCATGTCTACTTTGTGTCTTTTGAGGTATGATCAAAAGTACAGTGCATGCTCCTGCTTAGTGCCTCCTAACAGAAGGACAGTCTTGCAAAGACATCAGATTGTGTCTTCATCCACCTTAGCCACCAGGCCTGGTGCTGTGCACATTCTGGCTCTGACTCAAAATGACCCTGGAAAGCAAACATTTTGTCCATTTTAGGACACTGAGGCACCGAAAACAGCACAACTAGGGCAATCACAAAAGAGCACTTTCAGAACTGCTTCAGAAAAGTGGCAAGCGCTGTAGTGTTTCTGAAGCGAGCAGGAAAGGGTGTTTTGAAAAAGATTGATGATAATATGTGTGTTCCTTTAATAAATTTTAAGATGAAAATATTCACCATATATCTTGATCACTTTGCATTCACAATAAACCACTAATAAATGAAAAGACAAATATGTCAGCTACCAGGTAAACAAGTTTTAAAATCGAAGTGGACTCTGGAGTGACCTTAGCTTGAAGGTCACAGCCCACACCATGAGCCATGGCATCCAATCTGACCCCCTGACGAGTGCTTCCTCTGCCTGGTTTTGTCTCATTAGGGCTCAGCACTCTACTCTGGAGATCTGCACGCGGTCAACATAGAGGACTGTGCCATGTGTGCCATCCTAGCCCCGTCACCCAAGGTGGTGAGCAACCAGATCCTGGTCGACACAGAAGCCATCATGGCCACCCTCAGCATCGGGTCCCTGAGGATCAGCTCCTCCCACATCAGGCTGTCCGTGCCAGGTCAGCACGGTGCCTGTCATAGGGAAGAGGCCAGGAGGATGGGCTGGGGACAGAGTATCAGCTTTCTCGGAAATATTTTAATCATAAGGTGGAAAGCAGCTGGCCAGATAGCTTCCCCAGTGCCTTCCACCTCTAGCTACGCTGAGGGAGGAGCAACCTACAGTTATCTCCTCTGGAATTCTAGCCCCAAATGAAAACTGATGTCCATCTTCTAAATGAAATGTATATAACATTGTTTTCACATTTTAAGGGGAAAAAAATCACAGGATTGTAAATGCTATTATTTTTAGTTACTAACCTAACATCAAAGAATGTAGCAATTGTCATATTATTCTAACTTTTTTTTTTTTTTTTTTTTCGGAACCGGGGATTGAACTCAGGCCCTGTGCTTGCCAGGCAAGCACTTATTCTACTGAGCTAACTCCCTGGCCCCCTACTCTAATTGATAAGTTGTCATTATTGATCAGTTTTCGTTGCTTTTTAAAGATGTTCAAGTTACAAGTTCTAGTTTCATGGTTGAGGGAATAAACTAATTTTTTGACTCTTCGGAATCTCTTCGATTTACAAATTTTAGCAGCTTATCTCTAAAATTCTTTCAAGCTTCTGTGGACTAAAATGGCTTATTTCTACTTCAAATTGGAAACAGAATGTGAGGAAGAATTTGGGGTTTATCTTTGCAGATGGAGAGCCTGCTTTTTCTGCTTTGGGTTCCTCTCAGTAGCTGGTGGAATTGTGGCCAGTTGATAAGCACCTGTTCAGGCCGTGGAAGATTAGTAATGAACACTCAGTAGATGAACTAAACCAACTCCGCAGCATAGCCCCATTGTACAACCAAACCCAATCTTGCATTAACTGTATCAAGGTATTCTGAAGAGCAAAATTAATAACAAAACATATCAGGACTAACCGTTGAGTGCCATGAAAAGCTAAACTCAGCAGTTGTGAGCCCTGCCTCTGCTGAGCAAGTCTGAACATCTGTGGAAGTGTGGCTTGTTCTGCCGCCTGTGTTCTTATCTGGGCCATTAAGATCATGCAAGTTCACGCACAGTATGTATGTGTGCATGTGTGTCCATGTGCATGTGTGTGTGTGCATATGTGCATGCACATTCTTGCAAAACTGTGATTGGATAGAGAAGAAGCAGAAACATGGATGTACAATATAGGCCTGGAGTAAACCGACACCACCAAAAGATTTATTATTTTTTAACCTCTCACCTCCTACATAGGTTAGAAACATAGAAGCTTATGATTCTGAGTCTGGTTCCCTTCTATTTAGGGATTTCTTCCTACTATTTATTCAACAAGAATATGTTTATTTGGTAAGATGTTTCAGCTACTCTGAGATAGGCTAAAATGCTACCTATAAGTCAGCAGTTGAAAGAGAGAGAGGAGAAAGGGATAAGATTGGGAAGGTGAAAAAGGAAGGAATACCAGATTAGCTGACTCATCATGATGCATGGATAGATACTTTCCCTAAGAATAAAAGCAGAAGCATAAGAAAGAACATACCACATGAGCCGTGTGCATGCTTGCAGTTGGTGCAACCATATTCATCATTATGTTAGAGAAATTCTGGCCCAGACAGGCTCAAAGAACCCCCTAAACAGGGTCATCAAGTCTGCTCATGTGGCAGTCAGACACCAGCAAAGTCGCTCTGACAGTATCTTGAAGAGACTTGTGAATGCTCACTCAGAATGTCATTGATTACCCTGTCATCATAGGAGTTGATCTGGAATTTGCTTTTCAAAAAATTCTCAATCCTTGCAGAAGCCTGTTTGACTCTACTCATCATTTTTCTCATTTCATGTTAATGCATTTGTGCACCAGTCCTGAAGAGACAGAAAGTTTCACCTCTAAAACTGAAAGTATAAATGGTTGAGTAGTTCTCTCAGGAGAAAGCAAGCATCTTCTGTACTGAGCACCAAGCCACAGCTAGGTCAGTGATCCTCAGCAGGAGAAACTTTTATGCTCTGACCTCAGAGCATCTGAAGATGGTTTTGGTCTTTCCCAGCCAGAGGAATGCTATGATCTTCTGCCCAGTAGGTCAAAAACATGGCTAACCATATTGCACCGTATGAGATAGCCCTACAGATAAAATGCAACACACGGAGGTTGAGACTCCTGGTGCCCACATAACTGGTAAGCTTTAAACTTACAAAGCCAGGCTAGGATGACCAAGACTGCTCACAGAGAACATCCCCGAAGGAGATTGGGTGGGGCAACAGAACAAGGACCCTCTAAAGGACCCCAGACCTCTGCTGGACATTTCTGTGGAAACCTAAAGGCTTCTCGGCAATGTTCTAATTACTGCCCTGTCACATCACAAGAAGAACAGGTTGGCAAACCTAGGTACTGAACTAAATAATCTGTGGCATAATCTAAACATATAGCAGTAATTAAGTCTGACAACTTAATATGCCACTGAAATTTAAATATACAGTAGTAATCTACAATTAAGCAATCTTTTGTAATAGCACCCTGCCAGCTTGGAAGATTTCAGGTATAATGCTGTGTACTATGAGGCAGCAAAAATATTGACTTGAGTATAATGCACCCAGGCTACAATCTGACACTTATTCAAATTAGCCAGCGCTCTATCAGGAAAATCGCAGTGCCGAGGAGGAAATTCAACTGCTGTCCGCCGAGTCTGCTTAGGAAGCAGACGTTGAGGCAGCAGCTCAATCCAAGTGTTTCTGTGGGCAGTGAGAACACTGGCTTGGAAGGATGGGGCATTTCAAGTAGTTTCTCATCTATGAACTGGAGTCAGAAAGAAGGATTCGGAGAACTTACCTACTGAGAATGTTCTCCTTTGAGGACATCTGATCTCCGTATATTACAGAAAATGCCAGCCTCAAATGGCATGCTTTTAAGCAGGCTCTGAAGTGAACCCCACCCACCACTGACAAGCCTGGGAGCAGCCCTGAGCTGCTCTTGCCTCATCTTCCAGGGTGACCTGATGTTTTCAATTCAGAGTTTATGTGAAGTCCTGTGGTTCTTATCTACCAACAGTGTCTGTTGCTTACAGCCTTCTGAGGAGTCGCTTACCAGAGCTTATCACATAATCTCCGGTTCCTACTGGGAACTCTGTAACATTGGTGCATGCTGATTATAGGAAGCTCATACAGGATCTTGTAGATGGAAGGAAGTTTGAATTGTCTCCTGATTTATCCTGTTCTTGTTGCTTCTTTCCTCTGCCTGATCCCTGTTCCTGAAGGATTCTCTCACCCCCTAGGACTTAAATTCCCTAACAAAGATGCCTCCGTTTGTGCTCTGTGTAGAGTCACACCCCATCTCCAGCCCTTAATGTTTTGATCTTTAGTAGAATCTGAAAATATTTTGTATTTGCACTTATGATGGGTAGGGACTGTCACAGTCTAGAGTAGAATGAATCTCTCAAATGTTTCTGGGAGGAAGGAAGAGAGAGTGAAGAAGGGGAAAATGGAAAGGGGGGGAGAAAGAGAGGGAAGGAGGGGGGAGAAAGAGCACATAAAGCATGTTGCACATGCTGGGAATAAAGTACAAGTCTTCAATTATGGAAATCTTATATTTTTATATATAGTTTAAGGTACTCAAATCCAACCAGGAGAAAGTTTTGCCTCTAGCCACTGACACAAACTTTTCATTCTGTAAAATACCTAAAACATAACTCATTTCCAAAGTGGTAGGAACCTCAATCAAAGCAGACTTGGTACTTTCACAGTATTTTCTGTAATGTAGCATCCTCAAAAAAGTTCAAAAAAAGTGACTTAGTACTCTAAGGCACCACAAACAAGATAACAGAGTGTGTTTTTAAGGCATCCTATTTTCCCACTTCTTTCTTCATAATTTTAGCTTTGGAGACTCAAATTCTGGTGTTATATTTTTTGACACCCTCCCAAAAACACTAAGCTTGAGGCCAGAGTAATATAACTGCCCCCTTCCTCCCCCTCATCCTGCTGAGGGGACCCAAGGCAGGCAGGAGGCAGGAGGAGTGTGGCCTCCACACAAGCACCACTGTCCCAAGGCCCACATGACTTTCAGCCACAGTGTGTGCAGAGCCCCATGTTCCACAGAGTCAGGCTTGCTGCAGCAGAAGAGGGCAGCTGGAGAGGGGGTAGGAGGGAGCCGCTGTAGGGCCTCTCCTCTCCTCGGGAGACCTTGAAGGGGTGGGGACCAGAAATGTGTTGTGCTCCTCAGAGGTGTTCCTGGAGCAAAGCCACCAAGATACCAACCACTTGCTAAAAGTTCTGCCAGCTACCTAATTGGGTGGGAAGCGCTCCCTGGTGAGCACATCACCAGCACCACCACACCATGCTCACAGAGAGCGACTGTGTGCCTCAGTTCTGATGCCAGACGCACCTGCTGGGAGAGCTTGGCCTGTTGGTGATTCACCTCAAGGGCTGAAGGGCTGTCTAGAAAACTCACCCACAGACATGCATACATACACAAAGGACAGTATACCCATGCATTTGCATATAACACACAGATAATATGTACACACATAAGCATACACATATACACACACATATGCATGCATGCAGACATATGCACATATGCACACATACATCCTTTCAAAACAAGATGCTAAGGAGACACAAATAGAGGCGGCTTTCCATATCTGAGTTCTGCCCCTAAAGATTCAACCACAGATGGAAGAGATTCAGAAAGAAATCTTATCTATGCTGAACATTTGCAGACCTAGTTTGTCAATATCCTATAAACAATAGAGTATACCAGTATTTGCACAGAATTTACATCATATTGGGTATTATAGGTTATCTAAAGATAAGATGAAGTGTATGACAGAATTATATAGGTTATATGCAAATACTACACTATTTTATAAGAAACAATTTGAGCCAGGCACAGTGGTAAATATCTGTAATCCCAGCCCTCAGGAGGCAGAAACAGGAAGATCACTGAGAATTTGAGGCCAGCCTGGGTTATAAAGTGAGTTCAAGGCCAGCCTCTAGTACTTAATGAGATCCTGTTTTAAAAAAAGAAAGAAAAGAAAACAAAGAGGAGAGGAGAGGAGAGGAGAGGAGAAAGGAGAAGAGAGGAGAGGAGAGGAAGAGGAAGATGAAGAGGAGAGGAGAGGGAGAGAAAGAGGAGAGGAGAGAGAGGAGAGGGAGAGAGAGAGGAAGAGAGGAGAGGAGAGAAAGAGGAAGAGAGGAGAGGAGAGAAAGAGGAAGAGGAAGAGGAGAGGGAGAGAGAGAGGGAGGGAGATGGAGAGAAAGAGGGAGAGAGAGAGAGAGGA